CTCACAATAAACACCTCTTTGCTGCTTACATCGATCTTGGGTCTCTGGTGGTCTTTTGGGGGTCCCGAATTCCAGCATAACACTATCTCTAGGCAGGGTTTGGAATGAACATAATATGGCCAGAATAACCTTTTTAATGAGTTATTTTGAGCATCCCTCTGACCAACACACTGGTAAAATACCCGCATATTTCCAAAAATCTTATCCAAGAAATTTAGAATATCACACATACACATTTACACTTATTTGTAGTGTTGTTTTAAGATTTCCAATCAGCTTTGTGAATAGGATTTGGAACAAGAAAAAAAAATGCAACCGTTACCATGTAGGAGTGGGAGTTTGGCTGCTGATTCAGGTTTTGTCACCCTCTATTAACAAAGAGCTCTACACTCACTGTAAACTGCAAGCAGAATGTTTGCACTGAATATACTCAAGTCCCCTGTTGTGGTCACTTTCCTAGCAGACATCAGTCCTGTGCACACCATCTGGACCAGGTATAAATGGCAGATGAAAAAAAAGCTCAGTCCCTGACCTCAAGGATCCTCAACATTAATGAGAATCCCAGATGCAAAAGAGGGAAGAGGAACACACCTGCTGGTTTCTAACTCTGTCTGGGATGTGGCTAGAGAATACAATCATTTGAAAACAGCTTGAGTTGGAGTAAGGAGAAGTATAACAGAAAGTGTTTCAATTTTAAGGATTAGGACACTTTAACTTCAGCTTCCCCTCCTAGCACAACAGATTTACTCTTTTCTACTCAGTCTTCAAGCCTCAGTTCTCTGACTTGCCTTTCTAGCAGTCCCACCTGTTAGCCAGTCTCCCTGAAGACCCAGACACATCAACCCATTGTAAACACTCATTGTAAACTACAAAACCAGCCTCAGCAACAGCAAGGCACTAAGCAACTCAGTGAGACCCTGTCTCTAAATTAAATATAAAATAGGGCTGGGGATGTTGTTCAGTGGATAAGTGCCCCTGAGTTCAAAATTCTCCTGATCTCATGTATTCTCTTCTCTCTCTCTTTTTAAAGTTTTTTTTTTTTTTAATAAAACTGGAACATTTATTATAGACCTCATAAAGGCAAGCAAGCAAATAAGCAAAAAGTGTGGTGAAAAAAAGGCTCCTCTGATACTATCACACAAAAAAACAGGTGTTAACATTTTGGTGCTGCTTTTCCTTCCAATCTTATTTCTATGTATACAAAAGCAAGAATGTGCATTGCCACTTGCGGTGGCACACGCCTGTAATCTCAGCAACTTGGGAGGCTGAGACAGGAAGGTCTCAAGTTCAAAGCCAACCACAGAAACAGCGAGGCGCTAAGCAACTCAGTGAAACCCTGTCTCTAAATAAAATATGAAATAGGGCTGGGGATTTAGCTCAGTGGTTGAGTGCCTCTGAGTTCAATTCCAGTACCATAAAAAAAAGTGCATATTGTTTTATGAAATGTCCCTTAATATTATAAAATGCACTTAATGTCACAGAATTTATTTCCCTGTCTAATTTTTTAATTTGTTCTAATTAGCTATACATGACAGTAGAATGCACTTTGATATATTATATATAAATGAAGTATAATATCTCATTCTTCTGGTTGTACATGATGTAGAATCCCACCAGTCATATAGTTATATTTGGGGAGGTACATAGGGTAATAATGTCTGATTCATTGTACTACCCTTCCAACCCCCCAGACCCCCTCCCTTCACTTCACTCCCCTCTACCTAATCTAAAGTAACTCTATTCTTCCCTAGCACACCCCCTCCTTATTGTGAATAAAAATATGGAACGCTTCACGAATTTATGTGTCATTCTTGCACCGGGGCCATGCTTTTCTTCTCTGTATGTTCCAATTTTAGTATATGCGTTGCCAAAGCCAGCACTCATATATTTTCATTTTTGTAGCATAATATTAGAAACTGGCTCATAAAATTTGTAGAAAAAGAATAAACAATTTAAAATTAAGCTCAAGTCATATTTTCTTCCTGAGGTTAAAAATAGCCCCACCTCCCTCTCTCTTTCCTCCTGCTCCTCTCTCTCTCTCTCTCTCTCTCTCTCTCTCTCACACACACACACACACACACACACACACACACACATACATGTTCTGATTCATCTGTTGCTTTCTTTTTTAAGTTCTGTGGATGATCCTAATAGCAGGCCAGGTTTGTGAAACAATAGTATATTCTAGTTATCTCATTTTACGAGACACTGAAAGGACAAAGATGGTGCTAACATTTCCTGAATGCCTACCATGCTGCCCTTTGATTCCCTCCTTTATTTAACATGGCGTGAACCCAAAGCTAGGTTGTCAGAGGATTTGCCCAAAGTGACTAAGTAATGATAGCTTACTAGAAGCCATGTTTCCACACCACTTCCTTTACCTAACTAAAATGAAATTACTTAATTAGCATAAGTTTCTTGCATAATGATCAAATTTATTTTTTTCCAAAATTACTCACATGAAATATGCATTATTAGTAGTATTTTTTGCAAATGAAGAAATAAGACCTCTAGAAATACAGTTGAACCCAAATTAGACAACTAGTACATGGTGAAGGCAAGATTTGAGTTCAGACCTTCAGTGTCTACATTCTGTGCCCCACACTTGGTGTTTTCCCTCACTGAGTATAAATGACAACACTCAGGCTCCTGCCCTTGCCTCCCTCTGGCACTTCACTATATGCTGCATCTATTGAAACTTCATATAGCAGTTTCCCTGTGGGTTTTTTTGTTTGTTTGGTAGTGTGTGTGGTTTTTTTTTTTTTTAATTTTTTTGTAGTTGTAGATGGATAGCATACCTTTATTTGCTTATTTTTATGCAGTGCTAAGGATCGAACCAGTGCCTTATACATGCTAAGCAAGTGCTCTGCCACTGAGCTATATCCCCAGCCCACTCTCCATGTTCTTAAATCCTCATCTGGGCTGCAAATCAGAAGGAAAAAGTACAAGCCTTATGGAGTCAGATGGTCTTGGAATTTATTTTATTTTTTTAATATTTATTTTTTAGTTTTAGGTGGACATAGTATCTTTATTTATTTTATTTTTTATGTGGTGCTGAGGATCCAACCCAGTGCCTCATACATGCTAGGTGAGGGCTCTGCCACAACCCCAGCCCCAATGATCTTGGATTTTAATCCTACTTCTCTTTCCACTTGCTAGTTTTGAGACCTTGGCACTAACAATAATTACAACTTTTATTGTTTTGTATGTGCAATGATGCTAAGAGCTTAATATAACTGAACTAATCTTCAGAACAACCAGGGAGGTAAAAACAGTATTCTCATTTTGTGAAAAAGAATTTGTTTCATTGTGTAAATATAGTGACAATTTTCCAGATTGTCATGAGGATGATAACGGTAAGTGCCCAACATCATTGTGCCTTAGACATAGGAATAGATTTGTAACTGTTTGCCCCTCTACTCCCCTTCTCCACTCTAGGTCAGGAACCAACCACATCTCTGCTGTTTCTCCTTTCCCCCACTGGTGAACACATAGCAGGGACACCATCAGTATTAGCAAAGGTCAGTTTGATAGGTTGGCACTCCCTTCAAATTTGATCTTAAATCTTTTTTACCCAAAACACCAAGCATATAGATGCCAACCTTTTCATTTGTTCTGTTATCCCTTAGCCTTGCAATCAATGCAGTTCATGAGGCAGCTGAACTGCACTAGTAATAACAGTCATTTGATATGTTCCATTATGTTCTGGATCCAAATGACTAAGAAAATCTCATACCTGAGCCAAACAATGGTAAGATGCAGAGAGGATGTAAGTCATCCTTTTGCTACCCTGGCAACACAAAGAATCATTTGGGGAGCTCTGGAAAAAAAAAAGTGTTGTCTGGCTCCCCTCCAGAGATTCTGGTTCATTTGGTCTGAAATGGGACCCAGACATGCAACATGCATAAGTTCTACAGATGAATCTAATGTACAGTTGGAATTACAAATAATTAGTTTTCTAATTTATACACATGAAAGGAAATTCATTTTCTCCAAATTATTATTTAGGATGGAAATATGGCTCTCTGCATGTGAGCATATGATATAATTCAGAATATAATCAAGCACTATATAGTCTGAGGTAGTAACCATAGAGAGAAACTGAAAAAAAAAAAAAGGAGTCTAGGATGAGTGAATATATGGCTTCCCAGAATAAAGACACCCTTGCTCACAGAGCTCTCGTCTCACATACCTTCTCAAGACAGCATCAAGATTGTCACATGAGATGGAGCTTAATCTTGCACAAGATATTGTATACATACTTAAAAAGCTATTATAAGACTGTATTTATTCAATAAACATTGAAAAAGATAGCTAGGTGAGCTGGGCCCAGTGGCGCACGTAGATAATCCCAGGAGCTCAGGAGGCTGAGGCAGGAGGATCCCGAGTTCAACGCCAGCCTCAGGATCACTCCTTGCCCTCCAACTTAGTGAGATCCTATCTCTAAATAAAATACAAAATAGGGCTGGGGATGTGGCTCAGTGGTTGAGTGCCTCTGAGCTCAATCCCCAGTACATCCCCCCACCCCCTGCAAAAAAAAAAAAAAAGTTTGGGAGATTGGGCTGTGGGTATGGCACAGTTGGTAGAGTGCTTACCTAGCATACACAAGGCCCTGTGTTCAATCTTTAGCACCACCAACAACAAAAAGTTTAGGAAATCAATATATGCTTCTATATGTTAACTTAGATAGAACACACAATTTCTTTGTGTAACTTTAAAGTTTAGAATTATTTAACTATTATGCAGAAACAAAGATTGTACATATTTACGGGGTACCTTGTAATGTTTCAATGTGTATACATTGTGTAACTTTTAAAAATATCATTCTCAACTAGGTTCATAGATCATTTGTAATCCAAAGAGCCTCTTTTCAGCATTGCCAATAAGAATGTGGTCATATCCTTTATGTCACTGTTATAGTTAAAGCATCATCCCAGGGTTTCATAAATTGACCTTGGGACCACTCACGTATAATTGAATCAAGCCTTTATTGAAGCACACCGGTGGCGACTAACCAGAACATAAAGCTGTTCCCCTGATCAGTCCCGAACAATTGCAAGGGCTCTCCTTATAAGCCTGAAAATTGCAAAAGGGACATTTTGGGGATCTAGCCAATGCAAGCAAGCCAAGTTACAGAAGCGGGAGAGTGCAGTCAGGTGGAGGGACGCCTAGCCAATCACAATTAGCCCAGTCACCCCAGTTACAGAAACACAGCCCCATTACCCTAGTTACAGAAACAATGCCCCATTAGGTAGTTCTCTGTTCTTAAAGGTTTCTATAGCAAAAAGAAAAGAACAACTTGCCCCAGTCATGACCCTTCTACTTAGCATGGTTGTTTTACAAAATGGAGTCACAAAATAAAATGGAGTCACTTTGGCTTGACTATCACACCACCACATTATACCCAACAACATAACTTACCACTATCTAAAAGGAAAGCTGCCACTCATTCCTACCATTAATAACTCACTTCTGATCCACTCTTCTCAGTCTGGAATCTCAGACTTTCTTGGTTTCAAAGCTGCCAGCTCCCAACCTTGATCCTTTTCCATTCCTTGCATTTCCAACTCCGTGCTGAATCCTGTTTTTCCAGCTACAAACTCCACCTCACATGACAGTTGACTTCTCCACCTGCTGTGTCACAGGAAAACACCCTTCCTGCTTTGAATGAGCTCAAGACCCATCCATCCTACGGCCACTCTCATCTGTGGGGATCCCACCCAGCTGGCTCTAAATTCTTAAGAAGGTCAGTGACAGTGAGAAAGGGAACCTAGACTGACTCCTTGGTTTCCATCTTAGACGATTAGGTAGATGGAGGCCACAATAAGTACTAGGTGCCAGCTCCCCAAAAGAGGAAGAGAGATAATGAGTTCAGTTTTAGGTGTGTTCATTTTGAAATGTTTTTTGTGCCATGCAAGTGACAATGCACACAGCCCTGTCTTTCTATACGAAGCCTTTCTTGACACCTCTTCTTCCACATCTACTTACCTTTACCTTTACTATTTTGTTCTGATTTACCTTTTATTTTTTATTTTTATTTATTTTTTGTACTGGGGATTAAACTCAGGGGCCCACGACCACTGAGCCACATCCCCAACCCCATTTTGTATTTTATTTAGAGACAGGTTCTCACTGAGTTGCTTAGTGCCTTGCTTTTGCTGAGGTTGGCTTTGAACTCGCCATCCCTGTACCTCAGCTTCCTGAACCATTGGGATTATGGGTGTGCACCACCACACCTGGCCATTCTGATTTATCTTTGTCATCACAATAATCAGACTTTGGGTGTGAGCTCCTTGATGGCTGAGACTGTCTTTGTATCCCACTTCCAGCCATAGTGTATAGTATGTAGTATGTATTAACTAAAATTTGATGAATGAACAGAGAAAAACCAATTGAACTAGTGTGATGATTCATTTCAGGTGCAACCTGACTGGATTGTGACTTCCAAATCACTGATGAAACATTAGTTCTGGGTGTGTCTGTGAAGATGTTTCCAGAAGACATTGGTATTTGAGTCATCACACTAAGGAAAATCAGCCCTCACTGGTATGGAATCACAACATCTAATCTATTGAAAGCCCAGATAAAATATAAAGGTAGAAGAAGGGAAACTTTACTCTCTTCTAGAGGTGGGACATGGGACATCCATCTTCTTCTGTCTCAGACCTCCTCAAGTTCCCATGCCTTCATGCTTGGACTGAACTACAACCATCAGCTTTCCTAATCCTACAATCCGCAGATGTCATTTAATGGGACTCCTTGGACTCCACAATTGTGTGAGCCAATTTCCGTTAGATAGATAGATAGACAGACAGACAGACATAGATAGATCATATCTCTCTCCATATGGAGAGAGAGAGAGAGAACTCTAACTAATACA